CAAGTGGTGACAATTTGCTTTGTACCCCATGAATATTCATAACTAATAAAAACAAAACAAAATATTTTTTAAAAAAGAATTAGAATATTATCATTTAACAATAAAATAATGGATCCATGTATCAGTAGCAGTAACAACAACAAAAAAGAGCAAAAATCAAATTTCATGTCTCCTGATAAAAGAACATAATACCTCCTACAGTATTAACATAAGCAAATTCTTGAAAATATATCTTTTCATATCTACACAGATAGATTGATGCTGTATAGATATAGATAAAGTTATAGACATAGATATAGATATAAATATATAAATATATATATATATATATAATATATTATTAGTTCTGTTTCCATGGAGAACCCTAATATAAGATGTAAATTTAATCAAATATCTTTACTACATATATTAAAATAAACATATGACTTTCTCCCTCGTTTTGTTAATAAGGTAGTTTCATTGATGCATTTTAAATGAATATCAACCTTAAATTCTCAGAATAATATATATATCATGTTTTATATGTAATTGAAAAGACGTGGGCAATCACATGGTAATGTATACTAACACAAAAACCTATGTATTATAACATCTAAATAAAAGAGTTAGTTTAAGTGGTCTGAGATTTCATCCTAATAATATTTGTAATTTTATAGTTATATTACTAAACATTAGCATTAATAGATATTTTACTGTCAATTGGAAGGTCACCACAAAATTATGTACTTTATTATTGAACAACTACACTGGTTCTTTCAAACTTAAATAACAAGTATTTCTATTGTTATATTTTATGACATAATGTGTAACTGATTAACTTTCTGACTGCTTCCTTCACTTCCTTGTTCCTCAGGCTATAGATCAGGGGATTCAACATGGGGATGACCACTGTGTAAAACACAGAAGCCACCTTGACCATGAGCCATGAACTTTTGGAGTTTAGAACACAATAGAGAAAAAGAATTGTACCATGGAATATAGTAATGGTGGTTAGATGGGACGCACATGTGGAGAAGGCTTTCTGGTGCCCCCCAGTTGAATGCATCTTCATGACAGTGACAAAAATGAAAACATAAGAAGTAAGAATGATCATCAGGATGCTTATTTCATTGAATGTGGCAGAAACTAAAATGATCTGGCTAATGTAGGGGTCAGAGCAGGACACAGCAACAATGGCAGCATACTCACACACAAAGTTATTTATGAAGTTTCTCCCACAAAAAGATATGGTCAAAAAAAAGTATGTATATGTTAAGGAACAGACTATACTCCAAGTGTATACCACAGCTATCACCATGGAACAAAGCTTCTGAGACATAGCAACTGTGTAGAGCAAGGGGTTGCAAACTGCCACAAATCGGTCATAGGCCATCACTGCCAACATGAAAGTTTCTGTCACCACGAATATGCATGCAAAGAAGAATTGCATGATACATCCTGTGAAGGAGATGGTCCTGTCTTCTACAACCAAGTTCTCCAACAGTTTGGGTGTAACTACTGTAGAGTAACAGAAATCGACAAAGGACAAGTGGCTAAGGAAAAAGTACACGGGGNACTTATATTGAAGAGAATAGTGAGAGGCTGGACTTTTAAATATCACACACAAAAAAGAAACAACCTTATGTATTTCAATAACAGCAACATAATTGAAGTCGATATGCTTTTAGGTCTTTTTGATCTGCTTATATGTTTATACATGTATTTATATAGAAACATACTTAAATTTCACGATACATATTTTTACATTCAACAATCTAGGCTTACTATTATAACCTAAATATGCCTTTAGCTGGAGGTTTGAAGATGGGGATATGTTAGATAACAGGGTTGTGTAGTAGATCCAGTTATAGTCTTCAGTATAGCCACATAGGTTGTAGCACTGATGTTTTAAATACATCTAATGTGATTACTGCATATACTCCTGTAGGGCATGAACCATGGAAGAAAAAAAGTGGTGTCAAGTAATGACCCAGTAAAATATTACCACATTGGTCACTGATCAGAAAATCTTGAAACATGCTCGCATGTAGTGGCATTTAAAAATTTAAAAATTACAAAAATCATTCAAAAGGATTGGAAATTCTGGTGCAGCTAGTATTAGAACATGTAGACAAACTGTTAGGCTAAAGTTAAACAGCTAATTAAAGTTGATATTTACAAGTGTTAGCTATTTTTAA